CTCTCTCTCTCTCTCTCTCTCTCTCTCTCTCTCTCTCTTCCGTGTTGGGTTTCATGTATTCCCTCGGGTCTGAAGCATCCTCTGTTCCCGGCAAGTATCAAGGAAGACGATCGGCCCATCGGTGAGGAACACCTCCGCAGCGCTTCAAGCTCTCGATGCCAGCCGCGAATATGTACGCACAGTCTCCGTTCTCCATTCTTTCTCTCTGTTCTTTAAGATCGTCTTCCTTTAATGGCAGGTCGATCGACGAGTTTGAAAGGTAGAAGTCGAAGCTCGCGGGGCCTTCGTAGCCGCGCTGCTAGATCTCCAAAAGGCCCAAAAGCTCGCTATGAAGCGGGAAGATGCCCGCAACGCCTCCCCTTCTCGGCCTTGGCCGCTGACGAGGTCTCCCTGCCTCCCTCTTCAACCGATCACTTCTTTTGAGTCGCTTGATTGCACATGACGTAGTGGATTTTGGCAGCTCGCCCGGCGAAGAGACTGCTGCGGGAGAGGATGCAGGTGATGACGACGACAGGTTGCTGCTCTGGGAACAGACGAGGTAAGCATTTCTGGAGTACACAAAACAGAGATTGGCCCAAATAAAACCTTCAATTTGGTTTACACCAAGATGATGGTACGTACGCTCTTTAAGATCCCATGGGTATATGCTGAGCCATGGAACTCATATCTTACAGGAGAGAGAGAGAGAGAGAGAGAGAGAGAGAGAGAGAGAGAGACAAATCCATTCATTTTCTCTCTCTTCATGCCTGTAGGAAAACATCTGAGACATGAGAGTAAATACAAATCGATCCAATCCGCTGGGCTGCCTTCAATACAAAATCTGAGAAGCTTCAACATAATTAGCATTTTTTTTTTAGTGTGTGTGGAACCCCAAAGATCCAAATCATAAAAGAAACAATGCTATTATTACAGCGTCAAGAAACTTCAACACACAAAATGTAGTTGAGAAAGATAATTTGTGATTGGACATCTTTCTTAACTTAAGAAACCAAAGGTTTTCTACTATTAGTCTATACTCTGCTAGTTTTTCTTCATTTCCAAATACGGTTTTGCGGAAATCGCTATCATCCGCAGGCAAGAGTTACTCTCCTTGGAGAATGAGACAGCCTTCAATGAGGCCATAATAGAGGAAAGGGAGGAAGATATCAAAGAAATACACTATGATGTACAGCAAATACACGAAATTTATCAAGATCTCGCTGTCTTACTTCATGACCAGCCTATCAGTATAGGTAAGCCTAAAATTGGTATGCATCAAATTCATTTAATGGTGTCTTAATTTTGATTAATGTTAGACAGATAACATCGATAAGCGTATCGAAGAGTCAGCAGCATCGACAGGCCGAGCTAAAGAACAACTGTACAAGGCTTCCAAATGCAGTAGATCTAGGTCTTCTTGGGTGAGTCTTGGTAACACCTACTTTAAATAATCCTAGTCGCTAAGTTGCTTTGAACTCGTAAGCGAAGCTCTTAAATGGAAACTATTAGTCAAGAGACTAACTATTCCATTAAAATACATGAGTGCTAAAACAAAAACAGGAGAGTTTAGTAAAACAAAATGAGATATAGCATTGCCAGGGAGCTACTCATTAAGCATATTCAGTGTGATCAGGTGTTCCTCTAACAGAACACTCTTCTAGAAACATAATTAAGATGCAGAACTGGGAATGTGGTATTCTGTAGCTAAATTCCTCTAAATATTAGAAGCATAGACTAGGAAAAGTATTAGTTTGTGCAAGAACTGATTACCTGAAGCTCCTCAGTGTATTTATTGTATGAAAGAAATAGTACTTGGCTCCAAGAGATTCTATCACTGCAATCAGGATGATGCCTGCTGTTCTTTTCAACAGGTGTGCTGGGTGTTGATAATTTTGGTGCTGGTGCTGGTCATCCTTCTCCTTGTTCTCATCTTGCACCGGTTGCTTGCCCGGCATGACAATCCAGTACAATCACTAGTGAAGCAATGATCATTCGACGTGTCAGGCAATATGTATCGCTAATCAGTTTCTAACATCTCATGATTGTAAGCTAATTTTGAAGCATCACAATGTAATCGAGTATGCTTTGTACTAATCTATACCTGAATTCTATCAGTCCTGTGCTAACCTGAATTTGGAAGCAACTGTATCTGCTCTTAGCTAGCGAGAATATGCACAAGTAGCAGCTCAAAAGCAAGAAAGAAACAAACAACGCCCTGTTCTACAAATTTCTTGGTCCTCTTTCTGCTAATTTGACTTCAAGCAATCATAAGTGAGTTGCATTCCGGCAGCAACTCATGTCAATCAAAATTTGGAACTCAGCGATATTAGAAGAAGCTACAAAAGCAACGAGTTGAACCAAAGCCAAAGAACAAGAGAACCAGTGTTTTACCCGTCACTTGCGCTCCATCAAACTTGGCATAAGCCTCCAGATTTCGCCTCTCAGCTTTATCCACCGCATCGGCATCGGCCTCCTCCTTCACGGCGGCAAACCATCTGTTCTTCCCGTCCATGCGCCCGCCCTAATCGACACAGCAATCGCAGACCACCACTCGCAATCATGCCCATCGTTCTGCTGCGGCGTGAACCCTTCCACGAACACCACCGCTGGCGAACCACACCCTCCTGACGTGAACCCTTCACCCCGTTGAACGACGGCCTTGATGCCAGGAGATCAATCAGTTCGTGCCGCCGGTTGAGGCCAGGGCAGCTATCGTGGTGCACGAACTGATCCATCTCCTGGCATCAAGGGCGTCGTTGAACGGAACGAAGTCCCAGTCGAGGAGGCGGAGGGTTTTAGGGGGTGGGGGCAGTTTGGGGAGCCAGAACGAGACGGAGGGCTTGGGAGGCGGACGAAGTAGAACTGAATGAGAGGCGGTCGTTGAGGGGCTTGGATGGAAGTGGAGGTCGGATCGCCTCAGAACCAACGTCGCGGGCGCTTGTTCTTGGATGCAGCCATAGCGCGGATCGTGAGAAGGATTTCGGAAGACGTACCGCTTGAGAAGCGAAGGCGACACCGCTCCGGTGGAGGAGAAGGGAAAAGGAGCCGACGACATTCGAGCGGACGAAGAAAAGAATGTGTCGTCTTGAATGCCTCTTCATTCGGGGGTTCCGTTACATGCTCTGGGGTGATGTCATTTCCAACACCCCCAAAGCTCAAACAAATATACTTATCATACCGGCCGATGACTCGGCGGTGTCGATCGACGGCGTCTCCGAGAAGGATCCTCGGCAGCCAACGTCTCGAAATTGATGATGGTTTTTGAACTGCAACTCATGTTTAGGCATTTAAAATAAGAAAAGATCAACCCCCGCGCCAAAATATGCCTACTGTCGTCAATAAGCTGTGATCTGTTGAGACAGGTAGGACGGTAAAGCTTCAGCAATCTACATTTTCTACTTTGTATGAGGTCACATACAACCCATTCAGTGTACCTTAGAGCGAATTTTGTCCATTTGGCCGGCCGCCAACCCAACGATGCCCATCTTACTTGCACAGTTTCTGTTAATACATGTTCTTATCTATCAATGGCGATGAATCAGCTTGCTTCTCTGCATATATCCCATCTGTAGCAGCGGCTTTGAAACAGCTACGGATGAATAGTGCCGGTGCATCATCTACATTGTTATTTGTATGCTTGTGGCAGATTTAGCCTCTTAACTATTTACTTGAGCGATACTGTCCATATCTTCCTCGTGTACACGACTAGTGACCATACGGCAAGGCCAGCTGAAACATAGAGCAGACCTATGCCAGAAGCTAAAACACTCGGCACTGCCATGCTGCAATCACACTTCAAATATGTAAGAATGATACCATAAACAAATGAATGTAGCGCGAACAAGATCTTAACCTGGGATCTCTGCTAGCAAGAAGGGCAGTTAGCGCAGTCATTTGTGTTGCTGCTTTCCATTTCCCCAATTTGTTTACTGCTACAGCCTGCTGCCATAAATTATTTGGTTACCATAGCAAATTTTCCAAACATGAAATGCAAAATATATTTGCTGATAAAACAACATAACCAGTGGAAAGCCAAAAAGAGATACCTCAAGAGCAAGACTATTCTGAGATGCAGCCCACTCTCTGACTGCCGACATAGTTATCTACAAAAAGAGATGAATGCTAAAAACAGCCAATGACCATTGAGAAAAAAACAAACAAATCAACTCCATCTGAAGTCATAATATATAGAAAAATGGAGTTGGCAAATTGAACTTTGATTTCCTTATTGCATATATTTACTCATCCATTTCTTCTGAATTTAGTCTGAAGTCTACAAAGCACCACAAACATATAAGGTTGACAGAAAAAATAAACCTGGGAATAAGTTATACACAAGCAGTGTGAATTAAATAAACAAGAGTTTTGGAGGCCAAAACACTTAAAATTGTGCACCGATTTTGTCCTCATGCATTAATAGACTAAGTTTTGATACGGGAGGCAGATATGACAAACATAAGGTTGACAGAGCAAATATATTAAAGTTATATATCAAAGGAGTGTGAATTTTAAAGTTATTTGGTTAAGTGGTATAGGAAAGAATACAAACACATAATAGATAAGACAATGAAGGAATGAATGAGCTTCTTGTGTGCACACACATGGAAAAAGAAACCTTAGTTTACAAAGTGGTGATTACCTCTCTACCAATGATGGTTATTGAAGGTGCCGTCAAAAGCCATGGAACATCCCCAAATATAGCACATTCAAAAGGTTTAGTGCACAGCAATACCAATGTGGCAGCAACCATAAGCTTCGAGCAAATGAAAAAAAAATAAATTATTATTATTCACGCATATAAATTTAATATAGAGAGAGTTCTGGAACTTGACAGCATGTATGTAAAATGGATAAGGTATACCTTGTCAGCGACAGGATCCAAAAATGCACCAAATGCTGTTTCAAGCCGCATCTAGGAATTGCCACAAGTTAGTGTCAATTGTGACTAATATATTGGTTTGTCACATGCAAGGTCATCAGGGTCTTACGACAAACAATCCGATTAACATGGGCCTAACAGAAGCTTGGTCCTGTACTTCAAAAATTGCCACCCCATAGAATTGCAATGAATCATTACCTCAAATGACAAGATCCAACAAGGTTTCAGATATTGCAATCATCAATTATCTTCAATGATTTATTAAAATCTTCACCGCAATCTAAAATGAGTTTACATTTGTTAAGAATTAGAAATAGAATTATTGAAGCTAAACTTATCTTTTTACTAAGAGATTATTTTAATTTTTGGCAAAATGGGAAGTTTCAATAACTAAATCAAAAGAAATTTGGTACAGAACTCCATTTTTTTCTCAAACATGTTGAAGTGGGCTATGGCACATGCTTTAGTTTATGTTTGTTGGTGAAAAAAAAAGTGATTTCTTTTTCTCACTTCATCCGATTTTCAATTAACTCAAATTTCTGATTGATTTCATTATCATAGGAATGTATAATCGTTGAAAGGCCATGGACATGATTCTTAAATGGTGATATGATTCACAACTCATTCAACCCCAAAGCCACCTCAGGTTCTGATTCAGATCCTGACAACATTACTCAATCAAGGTTGCAGCATGACATATGAACCACGTACCTTTCTTGCAATATAACCATCTAGCCAATCTGTAATTGCAGCGAGAAGAAAGATGCTTGTTGTAGCAGTTGCTCCCCACCAACCATCCATGTAAAAAGCTAATGAGAGTCGTTAACATGTCAGCCTTTGCACTTAGACAAACTATAAAATTTTACCGGTAGATTTATATAAGCACCTGAAAAAATACTGAAAATAGTAATATGCTATCAACAACAAGTTTTTCACAAAGAAGAAGAAACATAGATAACCTCCCATCTATTGTAATAGAAAAATATAAAGAGCTTAGTGATCAAGAAAACTGCGCTTTTCATTCAGCAACTGGATTAAGTGCAATATACAATTTAGAAGATGTTGTGACTGCCTACAGAAATTCAGTACAACTCTTTCACTTTATTGAATAAACTGCAGAACCATAAATTACTCTGTTTGATGTAGGGTCTTTAGTGTAAACCAAAAATACAGAAAGAGATAATACACGAGGCAAAAAAAAAAAACCGTCATCAATTACCATTCTATATGGAGAAAAAAGAATCAAGAGTACAATAATCATTAGCTTCTAGCTGATAACTGACACAACCACTAAGACAGAGGATCTAAGTATAAAAAGTTAATTAGAGGCTAGGGTTACTGGAGAAACTAGAACTACTGGATGACATAAGCTGAAATCCCAACAGTCACATAATGTGAAAGGCTTACTCATATTGAACTTGCACCAATTGGATGACCTAACTTTACCAGAGATCAAGTTCTTAGCAAATGAATTACATATTTAAGTAAACTACAAAGGATGCACATGACCTGGAAATTATTGTCAGGTACATATCTGAAGATACTTCAATCGGTAAAGATATTTCCAAAATGTTGAACCAAAAATCTAAGCAATTGAACTTGATATGCAACAATCAGTGATCAACAGATGCAAATCACCACATAATGCAGCTATAGAATGGAGTTAAATTTATATTATGGCTATCTGATTTGGTTGATCACTACAAAATACTAAGAATTCAAATTAGTTTTGAATGTTTACATTTGTGCCAGCATCACATTTGGTCAGTCCACAAATTAGTTTTGAATGTTTAGACACATTGTGCATTTTTTAGACAAGTATAGATGAAATTTCAAAATTCAAAAGGCCTTCGACTGATTGATCTCCGAGATTATTGGTAACCAATAATGCTATTAAACAAATTCAATATATTTTTAATGTTCATAATATTTAATAATCCAAGATGTAAGGGTTCATTTTCTCTAGTGCCACATTACAGTCTTTATATGGAGCCTGCAGGTTCATCCCTTGATGGACTGTTGAATATGCAAGGCAGATCCAACTATTGTCAACTATTTTCAAGAATCTTCCTATGATGGTCTGTCTGTTCATGGGTTTTTGCATATAGTTAAAGAGTTATAACAAAAAGAACAAAGGCAAAGCATCAATAACTCGTCCTTTGTTATACTATGTAGGATATGAAATCTCATTGTTTGGTTTCTTCATCGAGGGCAATACTACCCTCATCGGCACCGGCCACTGCAACCACAACCAAGCAATTCCGCAAGAGAAAATGGTGCTGAATTTTAGAAAACTTTTGCTTCTTATCTTGGGAATGTTTTATTTGGTACTGATGTGCCGCTTCCCTTTTCTATCTCTAAAAGAAAGGAAAGAGGGCCTTACAGATGTACGATTCTTTTATCTTCCATTCTCCATATACATCACGATTATCCAAAGAAAACCATTATTCTTCCGACATGATATAAGAAAGTAAAAGAAATCTCGATCACATGCTTCAAAACCTTAAATATACAAAGACCGAGACCCTCCTCGCCATACGTTTTAGCACCCATAACAAACAACATACCTTTAAGTCGAGAAAAAAGGGCATGTATCTAAAATTAGGGTAATCATTTGTCGGTTCAACGACCCAACCTCTCAATATCATGTAAGCCGGAAAGAAACGGATCTAAGAAGAAATGACGCATGAGAAGAAGAGAATAGATCGGCATTAAGACCACGTACTGCTCACGAAAAGGGGGATGGCGGCGACCCGGCCGATGGTGAGAACCGTCGGCAGAGTGAACAACCTCCCTGGACCATTCTGCGGCATCGGCGGCGTCGATGGCGGCGATTGCTTTCGCCCACTCATCTGCATGCCTACTTTCCCGCCGCCGCACTCGTAAAGGGAACCTATGGCGCTTGCGGCGTCGCCACGGGGGTTCGTCTCTCCCGGCCCACCACCCGCCTTCTTTCTTGCACGAGCCATCCACGATCACCACAACCACCGAGACTCGCGCCCGTGTATCGCGCCGTGCCCTCCCTGACCTGCTGTTGCGAAGGCGCGATTTATTCCTGGGCCGTCCGGTTAGTCGTGTGCGAGTACGTTACGAGTAGGGCAGATTCAATGCTCAACGAGCAGAACGGCCGCGGCACGTGCGAGAGCGTGTCATCTAAAGCAACAAACTCACGTGGATGATGGACAGATAAACCGAAATATACGAATCCGATAACAATTAATGGATCTCAATGTTGGGTTCGATAAGGAAATTAGATCAAGGATGGATTCAATATCCTAACCCATTATAGATTTGAGGTACATCCAATAACGATATACGGAGGCACCAACGCAGAGGACTAGAGCCAAGTCATCCGCCCACCCGACATCGATATAAGGATAATAACGATTTATCGGTCCTTATGGATTAAACATAAAAATGAGGGTGTTACGATAATTGCAAAGGATCCCCTTGGTATAAACTCATTTTACCTCGTAAAACTCAAAACAACTAACTTAAGCGTTTGAGGAATCAGGTCAGAAACTCTCATTCACATTGACCTTTGTATAAGATCCACTAAAGAGATTGAAGTCTGACTATCTTGGATACTCAGAAATATTTCAAATATCATCTGGGAGTTACCTTAAACACCTTGATATTACATCAATTACTATTCGAGACTACCATAAGGGTTATCCAGATAACCTCGTATCTTTAAGACCAAATCAAATTGTATCGATTGACGATATTCGAACGCTATCAACAAGTGCATCTTAAAGCTAATACTACTTCGGGTAACAATAAGTATTTTGGAATGTTCACAATATATATATATATATTTCTTAAAGTAGCTTATGTCTTATCTAAAATTTTCACAATATAATTTAGTAAGAAATAAATATAATTTATGGCTTCTATAAGGTATAAATTTATTTAATTTTTAAATATTATTTTATATTTATTTTTATGATTATATTTTTTTACTTAATACAACTTTTTTTTGTAAGATTACATATATTAATTATTTGTTATTTATATTAGTATTTAAATATAAAAAAAATGTTTTTTTTTAAAAAAATATAAAAAAATAAATTTATCACATAATATTCAATGGACTTTTGAGCATATTAAAATATGATTCTCATTTCTTGTTCACCAAACATTCAGAACATTTCATATATGTAAACCTCTACCAACATGGTCTTTAACTTTCATATGTAAACCTAAGAAATGATATAATAAGAAACTAGATCCAATATGACATGATATGTATATTAAAGATGCTACAAATATAAACATTTAGTTTCCTATGGTAAGAGAGCGCTCTCTCTCTCTCTCTCTCTCTCTCTCTCTCTCTCCTCACCTATGTACTTGTAAAGAACATCCAGGAGAGTATCACGGCATGGACCATAACTCACTCTCTCTGCCCACTTCCCATCATCATACCATCCTAATATACTCGTATTCTTTTCCTCGCAGTGCGGCAGCTACGATTGTGTCGCCGTATGCATGCCCGGTCGACGTGCTCCCGATGATGCATGCACGCCGGCCATCTCTTACCATCATGAGCATCATTGTTGTTGTTGATATTAATTTATAGACAGTACTGTGGGCCCCAACAACTCCTCCAATCGTCGTGAGAGTGGCGGTGTGCCGACAACGTTCCTTCCGAGGGTACGTTGGCGTTCGCACACTTATTACACGAAAGGGTCCCGCGTAGCTTCAACTTCTTTCTCCAATCACAATGTGGGTAGAAGTTGGGTGTCTATAGAAACGTCGGTAATTTATGGTTCAAACAGAAGCACCTCACGTCATCATTCGGAACCACCCAAATTAGTGTTTGGAAGGCAGTAAGCAAAATTAAAATGATTCTATATATATCTGTTATATAAACTGGCGTTAATGCGTCTACATATCCATATGTGAGCCGAGCGGCGGCGTTAGTGTTCTCTGTTTCCGGTCTTTCCGGAGTCTGTCTCCTCTCTGTGTCGCTCGAAAACGACCTAGCGGAGATGAAGGGGAAGAACCTCCCGATCGTTGCGTTCGAGCACAAGAGGTGAGTCATGAGCTGCGATCTATGATCTTGTTATTGTTGATGTTGATGATGATGAGGATTGTGCTGCCGATCGAACCCCACGTGTTGAGCCGGTGGAGGGCATACCCTTCCCGTGATGCCTGCTCTTACTACACGCCGATTTCTTTCTTCTTTCTGTCCCATTTCTTTCTCGTTACGTGGATCTTTGAGATTACGACTATTCGAGCAATGTAGTCGCCCGATCTGGACTTCTGCGTTCTGGATCTGCGTATATTGGTGTTGGAAAGTACGGATTTCACTGTTCTCTATTCCGAGCTCTCTGATGGATTACTAGTTCGCGAATGGCCTCCCTGGATCTCCTTCTGGAATCTAGGGTTTTAGCTCGAACGGTACATAAGTCCATGGATGCTCTGACTTGGTCCCTTTTGTGGAGTTCTTTTTGCTTTTAGGGTGTAGTTTGTTATGCTTCGAGTTCTGGCTGAATTAACGTTGTTCTTATGTTGGATTTGAGTTTCTTGTATTTTGAAGGGTAGTTCTTTGTTTTTTTTTTTTTATGCGTGCTGTTCTTGATGGTGAGGATATGTGAGCAGGGACGCATATGGGTTTGCAGTGCGGCCTCAAAACGTGCAGAGGTACCGAGAGTATGCTAATATTTACAAGGCAAGGCTTCCGTTTCTAATTTCTCCTATTATTTTGGTCGAATTTGGTGGCCTTGATGTCGTGGATTGGTTTAGGATGTCGTGATGATTCTGATTCCAGGAGGAAGAAGAAGAGAGAGTGGAGCGGTGGAAGGACTTCCTTGATCGGGTGGTTAAGTCTGACGGCACTCCCACCGATGACAAGCCCACAGAGGAAAACAGCGTTCTGCTGCATTTGGATGCTTCCAGAGTCTCGGAGAAGGACAGCGATCCTGACGAGCCTAGCGAGTGTTATGACACAGAGGAAGTTGGATCACAGAAGGAGACGACACAGAAGGAGAGAAGAGTTCATCGGGTCCAAATTTGGCCCCAGACCAGGCCTTCCCTTACTGTCATTGAGCAGATGATGAGTCTGCGAGTAAAGAAGAAAAACTTCCTGGAAGGTGGTGAAGAAGGCATCAAAGGAAGTAGGAAAAACCTTGCTCCTATAAAAGAGTCAAAAGCCACAGAAGACTCCGACGATGAATTTTATGATGTGGAGAGATCAGATCCAGTCCAGGAGTTACCTTCTGGAGATGGTGTCACGGTTGGTATGGCTGGTCAAGGAGTACCTGAGGATAGTGACTTCCCTTGGAAGGAGGAATTGGAGTGCTTGGTCCATGGGGGGCTCCCTATGGCTCTCAGAGGAGAGGTGTATCCAGGACTTAGCTGTGTGTTGCCTGTTGCTACAGCTGGTTTTTGTGCTTCCACTAATCTATGTCTACCAATGTCTCTTAACTGTAGCTTTGGCAAGCATTTGTCGGTGTTGGAGCTCGCAGGTTGGATGGATATTATAGTAGCTTGTTAGATCAAGAATCTAAGGCTGATGGAAAAGAAGTTGATGCTCTGCTTATAGAAGGTGATGCTGTGCTTAAGGATGACACTGAAAGCAAACCAACACTACCCCAAGGAATTGAAAAATGGAAGGGACAGATTGAGAAGGTCGCTACCATTATAAAGTGTCCAACTTCCGTTTACTCAGTGTGTCATGGTAACTCAAATGCTGAATTTCAAATTACTTGCTTATGTTCTCTTTACAGGATTTACCCAGAACATTCCCTGGTCATCCTGCTCTAGACGACGATGGGAGAAATGCTCTGAGGCGGTTGCTCACGGCATATGCTCTGCATAATCCGTCTGTTGGTTATTGTCAGGTACTCATGCTTATCATGTTTCTACAGTGTGTTTGGTGTCATCATTCTCTTTGGGAATAGTTCTGCAAGAGTTTGCCGCAAGAGTAAACAGCTTTTATATAATCTAGAGAATGTATTTCTCTTTCTGAGCTTTTCTTCTCTTATAAAGTATATCAGAGTGATTACAAGTACTGGAATTCAGACTCTTACACTTTCGGATTTTATGTTTGATGATCTGTCACACGCAGAAGCTATTCCCTCTCAGCCAGTCCTTTATATTCTTTTATAGAGTTACTAGTTATATTTCTTTCTGTTCAGAAAAATGAGGATTTTCTAACTAAATAGAACATCTTACTTGGATTTGTACTCTGCAGGTGATGAATTTCTTTGCTGGATTACTGCTTCTGCTGATGCCTGAGGAAAATGCATTTTGGTAGGTTTTCCTGGCAGATTTAAAATTTAATCAAGGATATCATTTACGTGTTTAGAAAAAAAATTATATGATTGCTTAGCATGATTCGGCAATGTGAGTAGTGAGTTTTTTTTCTGTAGATAGATATAACATGAAAGAATTTCCTGATCCTAAGTTTTTTGATGTATCACAGGACTTTAACTGGCATCATTGATGACTATTTTGATGGTTACTACTCTGAGGAGATGATTGAATCCCAGGTGATATTGTGATGAAACATGTGCTTCTTTTTAAATTTGGGATGAGTTTCTACCATGCTAGTCACTTTCCATGTACCTATGTCAAGAGGTTAGTTTTGTTACTGTATGCTGATGTATTAATGTATGTGGAAATATGTTCCAGGTGGACCAACTTGCTTTGGAGGATTTAGTACGTGAAAGATTTCCAAAATTAGGTCCTTGTACCTCATATTTTTTGCTACTCTTTATTGTCTTCAAGAAACTGTGCTGGTAAAATATCAACCAACACGAATTTATGTTTGATATATTCATATCTATATTTTTATCCTTTATTTGCAGTGAATCATCTAGATTATCTCGGAGTGCAGGTGGCATGGATCACAGGACCGTGGTTCCTTTCCATTTTCATGAATATGCTTCCCTGGGAAAGTGGTCAGGTTTTCCTATGCAGAATTTTGTAACTGTTAGACCATTAGTTTACCTCTACTAAAATCTTTTCATCCTTGTTATTTTTTTATTTTTCAAAAAGGTGCTATACAATATGCGTTCTTTTAATTTCATCTGTGATTTTTTTTTAAAATTATAGTTCTTCGTGTTTGGGATGTGCTTTTGTTTGATGGGAACCGGGAGATGCTTTTCCGAACAGCACTTGCTTTGTTGGAGTTATATGGTACTGGTTAATATATTGATGGATCTTGATCTGTTTGACAGTTTGACCATATGAGTACATTAATTGGATACAAAGTCTAGTTTGTTACATGGAATATAACCAATGTTGTTTTTTCTTGTGAACTTTTCTAGGTCCTGCAATTGTAACAACCAAGGATGCAGGGGATGCAATCACATTGGTGCAGTCTCTTGCTGGTTCGACTTTCGACAGTAGCCAACTTGTTTTGACAGCTTGTGTAGGATATCAAACTGTAAATGAGATGAGACTACAAGAATTAAGGAACAAACATCGACCATCTGTGCTTGCTGCCATGGAGGAAAGGTCCAAAGGAATGCATGTTTGGAGTGACTCTAAAGGTCTTGCGACTAAGCTGTATAGTTTCAACCGTGACAATGGACTCCTAGTTTCAGAGTCAAAATCAGAAGAAAATGCTGGTGACACGAAAGCTATTGGCGAAGTGCACTTCATAGATTCCGATTTCACTAATTTTGATGGTAGTACTCTGACATTTGATGCAGAGCTGGATTCTTTACCTGATCTTCAAGAGCAGGTAATCCTTCTATTATTTGCTGTTGTAAAGTGTGTGTTTCACTTTCTAGTTCGAGGGTCAAATGTTCAATGTAAGCAAATAGACTAATGATGTCCAGTAGGCAGTGAGCGTTGTTAAGGCCTCTTCAGTGCATTAAATACATAATGAAATATAAAAATGGTTACCATTTGGAAAAATGACTATTACACCTGCAAATGTTATCAATTTTTTTTTTCTAATCTTAAAGACTGGCTTTGATTTCCAATCTGCTCAATCTAAAGTGCTATTTTAACTTGCATGATAAGCAAACGCATTGGCTTTTAATTGTCATTTTTAAAATGAATCTATGGGCCACCAGTTGGATAATTCTTGTGGCACTTTTTCATAAGTAATATCACCTTGTTGTCTTTTCATGTTCATAGTGCTTATTACTCATGTGTTTTCCGCTGTTATTTATTTGTAAAAGCTACTCATGTCTTTTTAAAAAATGACATGAGTAGCTTTTACATATGGTGACGGTAACTGGAATGTTTTCTTTTATAGTTGTCATTCTAAATTTAAGAATATCTAGTTGAATAGGAGAATAAAGCATATGGTATTGTACATTTTGTGGAATAGGTAGGAGAATCACAAAGAAAGCCAGTAGCTTTTGGTTTTGGGAGGGAAAAACACCAGAATTAAACTGAGGCAAAATCTGGTTTTGTTTGTTAAGCAATATTGTTGATGGGACATATCAGAATTATTAAATGTTGTAACTATGTATCCCACAAATATAAAGAAAGCAGGATCCCTCATAGATCAATCGAACATTCTACTTCAGTGAGTCTTTGTACTTCTCTTATCAAATATTTTGAGTTTGAATGATGTGACATTTAATATCACCAACCTCACCAGGTTAGAGCACTATTTTAGGGCATCTAATTGGTTTACCTAGATTTTCAACCATAGAAAAAGGCCCAAAGATTGAAAGCAGATGCATTGGCATTCTTTAGTAAAATGATTTGCTAATTTCAGATTCTTGAGTAATCGAAATTACTTGGACATGAACATCAAGCTTTGGGGGTTGCCTGGTACAGTAAACTTGTCAGCTGAAATGGGCTATGCGCATTTTATATCAAATGCAACTTTCATGCAAATATAACAAATAAAAAACATATAAAGCTCAGGGTAATAGAAATCAAGCTTTTAGTACCAAAAGAACCATGCTTTCATTGCTGCTATTTCTTAAGTTGCCATATAGGGTACATCATTTCAATGATTCTGTGCTTTAATCTAGGCCTTGCCTCATTATCCAATAATGAAAAAGGGTGAGAAGTCTACTTGAAATGACATACTTTTCCGTGTACCCTTAATTTGTAGGCCACATGGTTAAGGGTGGAGCTATGTAGATTGCTAGAGGAGAAAAGATCTGCTACCCTCAGGTTTGTTGTTCTCAGCATCCTATTGGTGATAATATTAGAAAGTAGAAACTAAATATTTAAACATGCTTTCTCTACTCTTAAATTAATATATTTACTCTTAAAGCCTGAAAATATGTGCCTGATACCTGTGTGTTTTTCATCTCGAGTCGATGACATTGATTTTACATCACAATGAAAAATGCTCCTAAAACACAGCCTGGAACTATTTTTCTAAATCTAACTAATGTCTACATGACATTCTTTTAGTTGTATGGCATCTAAGTACTGCTTGTTTTTATTTAATCATTTTCATAGAGCCGAGGAGTTGGAGACAGCATTGATGGAGATGGTGAAGCAGGATAATAGGCGCCTATTGAGTGCAAAGGTATATGATGTTTTAAGCTGTTAATTTTTTCATATTGAACAAAGTTTTTTATATTCTCGATCTGGTGTTTTAAATTTCTTTTGTTAATTATATGGTGTTGCTCTATTGGATGGATTGTAATATATGTATGTTCTTAATGACACCCATAGAGTTAAAACTGACTTGTATATACTAGTATACAGTGTGTCAATGCACTGAAGTATAGCAACATTATAAACAAGATTTTATATTTTTTTTCCCATCAGTATACCATGGTATGTACTGATTTAATGCTATACTGCATGAGTTATGAGCTTATATAAAAATAGTAGTACATGTATATATGTAGAAGTATTGCGCATATCTGTATATAAAACAGATATATGGTTGCACACAGATATATGGCCAGAAAAACTGTGTATGCATATGCATATGCATGTACATACCTTTATTTGTATGTATATTAAATGCTCCCCACAGAGGCTGTTGCCATCTGGTTAATCTAAACCTTTTCTGTCTCTAGTTACTTTTGTGTTTATCACACATGCTGGCTCACTTTTTCTGGCCATCTGGTTAATCTAAGTGCTATTGCTACTGTTCATAGGTTGAGCAGCTGGAGCAAGAGGTAATTGAGTTGCGGCAGGCTTTAGAAGACAAGCAAGAACAAGAGCGTGCCATGCTTGAGGTGTGCCAAAATTGTTTCTACCTTTACACTATGATTTTCTCCTACCATGCTGTTCGGTATCTTTGGTTGCTTTTTTATACAAATCAATGAGCTTTGCACTTGTGAAGGTACTGATGCGAGTTGAACAAGAACAAAAGGTCACGGAAGATGCTCGCCATTTTGCTGAGCAAGATGTTGTTGCTCAGCGACATGCTGTGCATGTCCTCCAGGTCTTTTTATAGTCTACGATGTTTAGATTGCATTTTCAGCTGATTCTGATACTTGTTTATTTTTAAGTGGAAATGTTTTTTCCAGACTAGATAGATTTGGAAGAGAGATGACCATGAAACGACACTGATGAAGTTGTTTTAGTTAGGGGTTGACACATTTGCATGGAATTAGAGGATCGGAAACATAAGATCAAGATTGACAATTGCATTGCTAACAAGTAACAACTATATCTTAGTTGATGGCTCACATGGAATTTGGACATTTTGACTGCTGCAAAACTGGTATCTCATCAATTATGGCTAAATAGGAGGATACAAGTCAACTTCGTGCAATTTTTTTCATTGCTTGGTTTTGAGTGTATTTGCAGAGAGACTTAGTTTTCTGTGCATCTTTATTTCTTCACTAAGGTTTACCTATTACATGCTGGCCTGAGTTGGAGAGGTGATCTAGCTTGTCAAATTATGGTCTATATGCACATAGCTCTTACATCTTTGTTCTTTGAATACCTTCCACATTCTTTGACTTGTGCCATATGGGTACAACTGCAAACAGAAGTGGAACCTAAAATCAAAGTGTCTATATTGTTTTTATATAGCTAAAATGAATGTTGCTGTGCCTTGAAGCAGTGCTGAGCTTGCTTTTACTGGTGAAGGATACATAATGAACTGTACAAAAAAAACACATTTCTTAATCATTATCGCCTTTTAACAGTTAGATGGCATTTTTGTGCCACTCACATTTTTTCTTCCATGCTTATGTTTCCACTTCTAATTTTCAGTACCATATGCATTTTATAACCCTTTGAGTTGTTGCTCTCCTCATCCTATACATTTATTGAAGGAATATATATTGTTCCTACTGATTTTTGTTATTCACTTTTCATTAATACAACACATTTCTAAATTTGATTAGGTTGTTATATCTTTACTTCCTGAAATTTTTTACCCACTACAAATAGATATATGCAGGAAAAATATGAAGAAGCCATGTTCTTATTTGCACAAATGGAGAAGAGGGCAGTAATGGCAGAGACGATGTTGGAGGCTACATTGCAATACGAGTCTAGCCAGCTCAAAGCACTTAGCTCCCCAAGGTATATGTTAAATCACTTTCTGTCAATTCTTCTTTTTTCTTCCACTGGGTTGTTAGAAGAGCATCAAAATCTTACAAGCCTCTCTTGCTTGCCAGCAGGAGTATCCTTATCTCTTGATCTTCATGTAGTCTTGTTCTTTTCTCAACTTTCATCAAGCATATGTTGTTTCAGCACAGGATCATGATTATGTTATCATGCCAGGCAAAAGCTGGCTGTGACATTGGTTCAAACTCCTTGACGTGATGCGTTCCGATACCTTCCTCGGGTGGCATGTTTGGACCCATGCCAGACTGTCCTGACAATCCTTGATTTTCATATCTTCTTCTCTTTATCATGTTCACATCAAACACACTCTTCTCAATTCTCTGATGTTGGCGCACCATACATGCACGTGACACAACTTTGTGACCTTTTCATTTCAGGACACCAACTGCAGATTCCTCGTCCGTGCGAACAAGTCAGGACTCATTTCAGGATGTCCCTGCCAGGAAAATAAACTTGCTTTCTAGGCCATTTGTACTTGGTTGGCGTGATAAGAACAAGGTGTTTACCTATAACTTTTTTTTTGGGGTCTAGATTCTCTTTATTGTAGAAAGCATTACCTCTTAATTTTATTGTTTTATAGCAAACTGGTAGTTGAGAAAAATAATGCTGCTTACCATAATAGAACATCTATTACAAGAAGTTGTAAATTTAATAATGTCAGACATAGTGCACTGTGGTAATGATATTTTGTTGTCTAGTAATGATCTCTCTAGTAAGCTCTAAAGCCCGCCTTTATAGGCTAGTTACAATTTCACCACCAAAATTTTAGTAGTGCTTCTTCGTCCAAAGGTTAAGATTTAGGACTCTCCATGTGGAGTTTAGCCACTACTAGTATACAGAAAACAAACTTAATTGGAAACTCTGAATTGCTTATGCTGCATTTGCTATATATGCATGTTATGCACGTTCTCAAGTATTTTAGATGACTCTCAACTTGTCTCTTTCATCCAATTGAACTGCCTCCCTTTAGCATAAATCATCTAATTTTAAACAGACTTGATTTTTTAAATCTAGGACTATGGCCTTATTGATCACACTCGGATAATTTTGGTTCACTAACTTAAAATTATTTAGCTGAACAAAATATCATGTAATTTTCTATTGTTTGTGTGTGTGCGCGCGCGCACGCATGTGCATGTGCTGCCGATGGCTTTTCTCCTCCATGGTGTAGGACTTAATGATCTTTTTGTTGCATATTACTGCTATGGTTTTCAATGGTTTTGTAGTAGAAATTACTACGACCTTCATCTCTTGCAAATCTTTTAATTATCAGGTGACCCTTCCTCACACATATAGTCAGCATAATCAATGAGCCTTGGGCCTTTGCGCCCCCCTATTGTCTCACACCATTGGAACTCTGAATATTTTCTTTTTATCTTTATGCACCTGCCTTAATTTATATTCACCCACACGAATATGTAATTCTGATATATCATGTTTTATGTATTTCCAGGGTGCACAGATTAATCCTGAGGAATCCGGTGACAGGAAGCCGAGCAATGAGGGTGAACAAAATGTGCAAAACTCTGAACAGAGAAATGAATCGACATCAGGAGCTGGATAAGTGAAACTTTAGACATCAAATTATTTCATTGCATGTTTGATTTGCTTTTATGCAGTTTCTTGTCTATATCTATATCAATGATCCCATATGTTTATAGTAATGATTCAGTCGCGGTCATTTGCCCTAAGCAGAAAAGCGTGCCACATTTATCTATCTACCGAGGAGGAGAAAAGCGTTCCACATTTTTATTCAGGCTTGTAGGTTGTATAATTCTTGTTGTAAATTATCAAACAAATAGTACATATTAGCCCATCCATTGGTTAATTTTCTTCAATAAACATCGTGAGTAAAATGGTTTACATTACATGTGTTCCCCTTAACTCGATGTAAGCAGCAAGCCAGTTAGCATGAGGCGACAAAAACTAAGCCGAAGAAGAATGGTTTGGATGATGGCCTGAGCAACTAACTGTCTGACCTTTTTATTTTTGCTGCCTTTGTTTCCAGGACTCGAGTGCGTGGTTCGTCTGATGCCCTGCTGGAGATGAAGCACTTCAATTGAGCCATCATGATGATGCAAATTGGAAATAGGTGCATGATAAGCATCAATAGCCTTTCACTGGCGCCTTAAGAAAGACTCCAAAACTGTGTGTCAACTTAAGCAGAGGCAGTTTAATCAGGTGCAAGAAGCAACCTGCGAAACGGTGCTCCTCTGGTGTAGTTCTCCCAAGCCCAGTGGCGGTGTACTTCTCATAATGGTTCGGGCGTACCAGCATCGAACTTGGTGACGCATGCAGGAAGAAAACGACAGACGAGGGCGGCGAACGTACACTAGGGGGAGCCAAATAAGAGATGGCGGCCGCCGTGCCTCCAGCCATCCCTGCCCTAACAACCCGCCGCGCTCATCTGCCGTGCCCATTTTGGCGCGTTATACAACATCGTCGCCCGCACCACCTGACGCACGCCGAAGCAGAACGGGCGTGCGCTCCTGACGTCCCGCCTCCCAACCGCAACGGTGGTCTTCACGCGCTCCTCGCGTCGCCTATCGGAAACGCCTCCTCCAGTTCAACCTCTCCTCCTGGTCATCCACTGTACGGATGATGCGTAGAAGAGGCACAAAGGAGTCTCCAATCGACGTCACATGGAGCGGCAAATATGCAAATCTTGACCCGAGCATAACTCAGATCGAACTCTGCAGTGACTCGCAACACCAGAGTCCAGAATGCTAATAGCCGTACCATATGCCGATAATAGATAGATCAATAAAATTAATACTAACCGATTAAACTCATAAATACAAATTGAAAGTGTCAGATAGAGTATAACCAATCGACAATTTATTTAAGTAAATAAAACCTTTTATAAACTAAATGGTATATATATATATAAAATAAAGAGATTAGAGTACATTATTATACAATAAATTTTTAAAATTTTATTATATAAAAAATTAAAGTATATTTGCCGTATACAGTAAATATAAAAATATTTTAAATAGATGATTAGTTTATATATATATTTTAATACTAAATAATTTGTAATAAATGTTTTGAAGTAATATAATTGTTTCCTAAGTAGAGAAAACCAAAACGATGGCGGGCATGTGGTGGCATGAGGGGCTGTAGGGCCCGAGCAACGAAGCGTTATTGTGGCGCTACACTCCACGGTGGGCCTCTGCTCTCTCTCTCTCTCTCTCTCTCTCTCCCTTTGTTCTATCTATCTGTCTCTTCGTGAATCTGTTGCAGGGAAGCGGCAGGAATTTTTTTTCCCGATGCTTTTCGAGCGTGCAAGTCAGAAGCGCGTCGTTTCATTTCGTACGTGCGTAGCCTAATCATTGCCTTCCTCTCTCTCTCTCTCTGGTTTCTTCCCTCTCTCTTATTTAATGGCCGGAAGAGGTGAGATGTCGGTTCTCCTCAACATCGGCTTCCGCTTCGCCTCTCCATCCTCACTTCCATCTCTCCGAGGCGCTTCTCCTTTGGGCGGTGCATGGAAGTTCCTAAAGCTCGCAGCCAGGTACACATCTCCGCACAGCACCCTTTCCTGCACTTCACTTTGGTTTCATCTGACTTCTTTTACATCTCCCGACTCTCTCTTTCTTTCTTTTTCGGTTTGTTTTGCGTTTTAAGATCTGGTTTGAGCGTGAGATCGGTGGATCAGATTCATACATAGGTACATATATATATATGCATGTCCTTTGTGTAGCCGTTGCACAGTCTTGTATTCAGGTTGAACACTCCTATTTGCCTGTAGATGAGCTATTCTTCTTCTTCTTCTTCTGCGCGTCATCACTCTCTTTTCGAGCTTTTGTTGGTCTGTGATGACCAGTGATGCTCATCTTGTTCTTGAATTAACACTTAGCAGTGTAATTTGAGTTCTTCTATATACCTTCAGCTAAAGCTACCAAAACCACTTCTTTTCCTTGTATTATTAATGAAGCTTCCCACTTGAGACATCATGATGAAGAAACAAAGCTGATGCACTGCCTTTACAAAGGCTGACATCCCACTATATTGCTCTTCCACTAAAGCTTGCTCCTTCCTGACTACTTACTAATCATGTTGTTGGCATGCTCACAAGTTTCTCTTTTACTAGCTTCATGGCATGCTTTTATCTTTATAAAGGCTTCTTTTGTACTCTCTATCATAATCTATCATTTACCATTTTCTTCTTCTTCTTCTTCTGGTCCTGTGATTTCTTCTGCAGGCCATGGCTGGCCAACAGCTGGGAGGGCTGCGACTGTGCCCCAAGAACCAGCCGCAGCAGCAAGAGAGGAAGCTAGTTAGACCTCATCCAGAACAGGCCCTCAAATGCCCCCGCTGTGCCTCCACCAACACCAAGTTCTGCTACTACAACAACTACAGCCTCTCCCAACCCAGATACTTCTGCAAGGGCTGCAGGAGGTATTGGACTCAGGGAGGCTCCCTTAGGAACGTTCCCGTCGGAGGTGGCTGCAGGAAGAACAAAAGATCCACCGCTTCCTCTAAGAAGGCGCAAGACACTGATCCCGTCGCCGCCGACTCCACAAACGATCATCCACTCCCCCCTCCCTTCTTTCCTCCACCACTTCTCCATGACCTCACCTTGGCCTTCGATGCCCATGGCTTTCTCCCGGACCATGTACTTAACCTCGACATTTGTGGCTCTGTCGACACCGTGAACCCAAGTGGCTCGAACGACCTTTGCTATGGCCTCGGTGGTGTCGCCGGGGAAGATGGACTCGTGCGCTTTGAGGGAGGAGGACTGGGAGATGCAACAGACAGAGCAGTGGCCGGCCGTAACGACATGGACGAAGGGGAGACCAAAGCTTCGATGGGCCTTCCATGGGCTGGTGTTGGTTCTTCTTGGTATGGACTCATCAGTAGCTCCACCACCACCACCACCCTCGGAGACGCCTATGCTTTCTTCTGAGGCTACTGCTGCCTGTGTTCTCGGTTCCTTCATCGTATTCCGCCTTCTTTTCCCTTGCTGTTTACTACACATATTGTGGGGTGGGTGATGATGACTCCATGATTACACAGTAAGATTAGGGTTCAAAGGGAGGGATGTGGTGACTGCATCAGTTTGTATGGCTGTGTCTGCATGTGGAAGCAGAAGGAGACGCTGCGAGATAGAATAATTTCGACAACGAAATCTTAGTTCAGATACGGAGGATTTATTACACATGAGACTGCGTCACGCATCGGTGACGTGATTTGGGAATGCACAGTGTGTGTTCCTCCAGACAATGTATGCAGCTCCAAAGCCCAAAAGGATATGATCTCTTACAATGTATGCAGCTCCAAAGCCCAAAATCTCATCTCTCAGAATACATATCTAGTTAAACAATCGAGACCAAAAATATATGCAATCTTATATAGACTAAAGACATATGGTAATTCCAGTATCAGCTCATTGGGCAAAAATACACAACCGAAGCTTCATACGATCTAACAGCTATGATATCGCGCGTTCTAAAGATACTGATGCAGTATGAGAAATGGTCTGAGGCTTGAGATGGTTGTCATGACTTGGTTTTTATTTCGATTGGGTAAAGGTTTTAGCCGGGAGGAGTTCGATTAAGATACCGAAGAAAAGATGGATAAAGAGCAAAACAGAGCAGAGAGGGCACTACAAATTAGCTGTGGCATGGGAAACTAAGAAAAACAAGCATGATATTATTGGACATGGAAAAGAAATGAACAATTAGCCATTTTTCGATCGATGTATGATATGAATGCATTAAGTAACAACAAAATGAGGTCTATGATCGTCTTAGAAGCCAAATATCTGTCGATCAGAATTCATAAAGAACACAATCCATTAATCAGAGTAAAACTTGAGTAAGATGGAGCATAATCTCCTTGCAAAAGAGTTCCATTCTTCTGAACCTCCATCAAAATGATATAGAAAAGAATGCAGCTCCAAAAAATGAATGAGGCCAATTAGTTATTGGCGCTTCCTAACCCTACTCGCTAACTGGTCTTAAGGTTTCAGGCAAAAGAATCAGATGCCGACATGAGTTGCACATACGAACTAAACCAACCTCCAGAGCTTCAGTTAACCCAATGCCGCCGTCACCATTGCACGAGGAACGCACACACACCTGACCGTTGTTTCTGAAGAAGCTCACTTGTTGCGTTTCTTTGCTTCGCTGTAAAGAATAACTCCAATTACCGTAATAGTGTAACCAAACATCCCAGTCACCGTCACAGGATTCTTGAATATTAAGATTGAGACAACCACCGCAACAGCACCTTTGGCATTTCCAAGAACCTGAAATCACCAAAAGCTAATACCGTAGTAGCATTGCAATAAAGGAACCACACAAAAGCAGAATGATGATGAAGATCAGAATTTATCACTGAGCACAGTGTTCTTTCATGATGAAATAGCGTTACTTCCACAACTCGGTACATCTTCATGAGAGTTTTAGGTAAGGAGCTTGCCACATGGCGGGTACAGAAGGCTAAAGGTCTAATGAGCGAGAGACCATTTGAATTCTCACCCATAGCCTAGAAAAGAGACGAAACTTATGCATTCATTTTGCAATGACGCAAATAAGTTTGATGGACTTCGTAGAGATACAGAGTTTTGATACTGGCGTATAAAATAACAACAACACTTTCCAGTTTTCCCAACCGAATATGCTAGTCCCAGATCATAAAGCACACAAACATAAGCAGATAAATTTCCATAAAGCCCAGCAAATGAATATAAATGGAAATAGATGTACATGTATGTCCTTATCATTAAAAAATGTTGTATAGACAATCGTGAGACAATGACATTGTGCAAGAATCGTACCTGGAGTGTCAAAGCGCTGGTGTGCTTGGTTACCAAAAAGTTCGTCAAATTCACAAAATAGGCAAGAGCGGAATTGAACAATAGGTACCATATAATCTTAATATCTTCTCTCGCAAGTGCCAATGTGATGCCGACCACATTTTGCTCCATAACTAATGTAGCAGGAAGCAATAAAACAACTGCTATTGGAGCCATGTATAGTAGAAGATTCATTGAATTCAACTTTTCCCTGATAAGAAAAAGAGAGGTGCAGAAAATTTGATATTAATATTGCAGGAGAAAAAGAAAACTACAACATTTTCAGGAAAATGTATGCCTCCATAAAATTTCCAGTCTATAATAATCAAAATAAAAACTGTGAGGCTCTGACAAGTGGATGCATGGATGAGTAGAGCAGACGCATTTGCATGTTCAGAAAAAAAAAATGCATCGATTACCCCTCAGAAGACAACAGTATCCCTTGCAATACCGACTTAAGTGCCCTTGCAGCAGTTGCACCTATACACATGATGAAACCAAACAAATGGAAACTTGGCTCCCCCTGCATTGTTGTAAATAAGCAATAAAAGTTAATAATTAGACAAAAACTGTACTCAAGGAACCATTCAAGCAGAAAAAGTTGTCGCTGGATCCACACAACAATAGCAACCATGATAAGGAAAGCAATAAAGGTGAGCACAGAAAAGGCAAATGCCACTTTGAGTGCTGGCAGTATCTAGGTCAGAAATCATCCTCCTTGACACCAGCAAGGCCACTGAAAAATGGTCCTCCATCGAGAATCAAACTTCTCTTTCAATGCCTGGTTCTATTTCCAATTATTTACCTGATGGCGTTTGCTCAGATGCTGAAAGAATAGGGTAATTCAAATCATTTCTAATGGTGTTACATAAAAAGTAAATGCCTTTTTACTTTTAACTGCATGTTGAATTTATCCTTTTATAGCAAAACATGGAGTTCATAGATAACCTATAACGTATTACTATCTTATTCTCTTTATGTCTGGTCAGACACCTATCTAGATTTATTTTCTGGCATGCTTTTCTGTCAAAATAATCAATTTCCAATTTTCGGTTTTAATACATTAACATCGTTATTTACATAAAAACTTACTAGTTAACCTATATTTTCATAACTAAACACTTTTGCAGTTTAAGACATTTTTATTGTTAGAGACATATGATGTTCGCAGACAAAAGTTGCACAAGTCGATGCGTAATCCCTGAAATGAGAACCGGACTAATTCGTATGATATTTAGCATAATTCACTTATGTGCTTGCTTAGTCATCTGAGCATTTAACCTAGTCTGCTGGAGGGGTCCCCTGACTAGGACTATGCAGCAGTTCGACAACCTCGTAAAGAAATGATATTAGCATTACAAACTCGCAAGTCAATTCAATAATATTTTTGTGAAAAGCTTCGATGTAGAATGGGTTTCTGAATGCCAAGGCCCACATGTTTCTGGAAGAAGCTTATGGTATTTTAGTTGCTACACATCATATCGGAGCATTGCAAGTAAACGATCCCACCTCATATCGACTAAAGAAAAAAATATTTCGTCTGATCGACCATATTACATTCAACAAGCTCTAAGTTGTCTAATCAGATGCAAAACAATCAAGAACCACAAGCAGAAAGGAAAGATGTTTAAAGCAGCCGAAAGATGGTGCCAAGAGACACAGATCATATGGAGAAACTCAGTTAAAGCTGGACTACTTTTAGATGAACCAGCTTCCCCAACTTAAAAAACATGCCACTTTAAGTCTAACATCTAACATGTAGAGTTATAATCAGATCTCGAATCCAAATGCAGAGAGTACGATCATCTAATCGATAAATCTAAATCTGCCATACTTAATTCCTCCTGCATTGTTTAGTATCTTACAGATCCACATCAAACGAACCAAGAAATGCACATCCACCTAAATGCAACGATTTCCTTTCTTTCATTTGGATTGCATGATGAATTCAACCAAGTACAAACATCAAACACATGATATACATCACAATCTATGGGAAAAAACTGGATCTATCTAATCCGAAGGGAGGAAGATTCGGAGTTAAACGTACCCCGCTGGCGATTATGACTCCGGCGACGACCGGGATGAGGGTGACGTAGGTGATCCAGGCCTCCCGCTTGACGGTCATGATGTAGGCGAATACGGCGGTGAAGAAGGGGGTGGTCGCCCCCACCGCCTGGTTGAACGAGACGGGCAGGTACTTGAGCGAGACGTTGCCGCTGACGACGGAGCCACAGAAGACGAGGCTGAGCGCGACGATCTTGGCGAACTGCAGCCGGGAGCGCACGGCCTGCATCGGCACCACCCTCATCCAGGCGATTGCCACGTAGCTGAGCAGCGAGCAGGCCGTCATGTGGCACATGGTGAGGAAGATCGGGTACTTGAACCCGTAGTTGCTGAGGAGGTACTTGTTGAGCAGGAGCACCCCGATGTTGGACGAGTACCACGACGCCACCAGCCCCAGCGTGAACAGCCTCCCGCTCACCGCCGGTGGCGACCAGTTGCCCTTGGTGCTCATCTCTGCCGCCTCGGACAAATGGGAGCAGATTCCGGCGTAGTTCCCGGCGAATGGCACCACCAGGGGTCGATCGGTGAGATGTCTAGGATTTGGGCAGTGCAAAAGGGATCGGATCAGAGGCAGATCGAGGAGGAGGGAGAGCTCGAATGCCGAATGGGGGATGCGGCTTCTCTTCTTCCGTCGATATGTGGAGAGCATAGAATATTCCTTTTTAAGTATATAATATATATATATATATATATATAATATAATATATATATATATATATAATTAATTATTTAATTAGTCCCTGTGTTGTGTTCTTTTTGGGTCATCTTCCGCCAGTGGCTGACCGTTGACCT